ATGCGAGGCAACATGGCCTCGAGACTCATGCCCCCGGTGAACAGGGAAATCAGAAAGTCTTTTCGATAAATTCGGTCTTTGAACAAGTGGGGTCCTGTATGGGGGTTGCTTCTGGCTGTAAACCGAGCTGAATGTATACACTGATCGTCGAAGCCCTTTGCCATGCAGTCAGCTGGGACACGTGCACACAGGACATACCAAACTCCTCCGCACCCACAACCTTGAGCTTGAACTTCAGTGACGTATCTGGAATCCCCGAGCCCAAGACCCACCACTTTATAGCGGAAGGGGCCCGCTTTGTCGGCTGGTTCTGATGCACTGCTCGGAGCTTCCGGCGCATCTTCAGAAGGCACAGGGGCCTCAAGAGCAGACTTCGGCTTCAGGGATGCTCAGAATTGCTAAGTTCAAGTCTTGGCATCCAGGCTTTTAGGGATTTCAGGTAGGTGTGCTGCCTTATTCCGAAAGTCAAGCATGGACCTCGCAGCCGTAGCCTACACTCCGACTTGTTCAACTCTTATCTCCAGTTTCTGATCCTGCAGGAGACCATCATGTGCCGAATTGGCAGTACCATTCAAAACGAACCGTGACTCTCTCTCTCTCTCTCTCTCTCCCTCCCTGTGAAGTGTTTCTGTCGCCGAGGTCTGCGGCTCAACAAGGACACGCCAAGCAGCTTGCAAACTTGTGAAAGTCTATGGAGTCTATGAATTTCGTAAGTTTGCAGCTGTCAACAGCAAGCCCCACGACCCTACACCTTACGGGCAGGTCCTTGTCGGAAACTTTCGAGGCACTTCCCGGCTCTGGTGGCGAGGCCTGCATAAGAAAGACAGTTTCGCTGATCCGACACCTGCTACACCGTGCTTTTGTGTTCAGCTGTTTTCTGATCTTGTCAGCTCCTACTGCAGTCCGTCTTTCTACCCTCTTGTAACCTATCGGTTTGACCTTTCAGACTTGTAGATGCACTTAACCAGCGAATGTGTGTATTTGCGTACGCAAGTTCGTCCGTATGTGTGTATATACGCAGGAAAGTATGTACGGAAGTATGCATGTACGTGCGTAAGTAGGATTGTACGTATGTGTGTAGGTGCATACATACACATTACGCATGTAAGCATGCATTTGCACGTGTCAGGGCGTATGTTCACATGCATGTGTACCTTTGAACATTGAAGTGTATGTGTGTGGCAATGTACACACAGCACAGATCTTCGGGCCTTTGATTCGGCCTTGCCTTGAACAGCCTTTCTTGCAGGAGCCTGCACCACAGTGCTTGACAGGGCTTGAAGGCATGGATTTTCTGCCCTCCAACAGATCCTTCTCCCCAGTCCGTGAAACCCGAAAATCGCAACAGAGCATATGGCAAAGCTTCAACTCAAGGTTCCCGCCATGCAGCTTCACTGCCGCAGATAGCCTCCTCTTGCACCTCTTGCTTCTCTGCATCGTTCTCCTCCTGTGCCAGGTCACCCTCCATTGCTTGGAGTGCACTGTCCAGGGCCGGGCCCATTTTCGATGCCACCTTCCGAGGAGTGTAGCCATCGTAGTTCCAGTCCTAGTAGTAGTCCTAGTAGTAGTCGTGGTGGTAGTAGTAGTAGTAGTAGTAGTAGTAGTAGCAGCAGCAGTCGTAGTCGTCGTCGTTGTTGTCGTCGTAGCCGTACTAATACGTCAAGAAGCCGCCCAGCAACCAACAGATGGCCATCGCGGGATCGAGGATTAGTCTTCCAGGTTCTTATTGAAAATATCGCTTTGAGAAACCACATGCCCCCGGATCAACCGGACAGATCTATCATCGACAACCTGTCTTCGGCTCAAGCTTTCCCAATCTAGCGCCTCGCCAAACCCACAATCGTACACATTTACACAATCGGTATTCAAGCATGACCGGGTGGTTTCATAGCCTGTGCGCCGACGACGGCGCCGATGGGGCCCCCAAGCATCCCGCCGACGACAGCGCCGCCGACCTTTGCCACACTCTTGCGGTTTACGCTGAAGGGGCGCTTATGACACACGAAGGCAAGTAATTGCTACCGGCAGCGGAGACATGGCTATTTAACACGACAACAAACCCTGGCAAGCCCGTGCGACCACACGTCTCCACGCACTGAATCCGTACTGAATGCTGAGAACCCGTCTATAGGGCAGGTTGTGTGCTGGAACCAGATGCGGCAAACTTTGTGTATGAGAAGGATGGGAACGGGTTTTCAACAGAGGAGCTGACTGAGTAGACTTCCGATGCGTGATTGGCGCTCAGCGCCGCACACCAGCTGTGCCTTGGGCTTTCTTCTCTTCGATCCACTTCTTCACTCCATCAAGGCCTGCCGGTGTCGTTCGCTGTTCACGCTTTTGGGAGTACTCCTGCTGCTGCTGCTACCACGAGGATGTAGTAGTAGTAGTAGTAGTAGTAGTAGTAGTAGTGCTACTACCGCCATGTCACTTCTGCCGCTGTTACAGCTCCTCCTGCTGCTCTCCTGCTACTGCTGCCACTTTTACGGCTGCCTCCAGTGCTGCCACTACCATCATTACCATAGCTTTCTTTTCATCATAGTACCATGATGAACATTGGCATCTTGCCACTGTGCCGAACGTATTGGCAGTGTTTCTAGTTACTTCTTTGATTCTTAGTTTTATCAGTCTTATGATTTGGTAATTCGCTTTTCCGTTCTTCCTGTACAAAGTATCGAAAAAAAGGCAACCCCATGCAATTCCTCTGTGCGAGCGAAGTCCTTGCGCAGTGTGCGGATAGACACCAGGTGGACAAGGCTTCAGGTTGCATGGCTGCTGGGCTTGCGATGGAATTGAAAATCTGGCCTCAACCCCGAGATTTAAGTGGTTTTGAGGCTCTACCCCAAGGCTTATGCTCCGCACGAATTTGCCTGGATTTCTGAACCTAAACTCCCGAGCTCTGTCACTCCGGCCAGGTTACCCAAGCACAGCAATTTCATGACTGCATCAAACACTTTGCAACCAGGGCTGAAAATGAGTCTTGGCATCGTGTTTGATGTGTGCAGCCATAAGCCTGATTCTTCGACATTGGGCAGCAAACTCAAACTGCAGAACTGCGAAACTGAAGCTTAACGACCGGAATTCCGAAACAGGTAGCTGCAGGTTGCCCTGAGTGCCACCCACCGCACGATTGCATGTATAGAACTTGCTTCGAAAACTTGAGGCTTCAATAATCGAGACAGCACAAACCAATGACGATAAATGAATAAGGGGGCTGTTGCTGTGCTGCCACGACTACCGTACCATGATGACTCCCGGCCACACATATGTTCAACTGGTCGTAAGCTACTCATAGCAAGATGGGGCTATGAGTGCAAATGTGGACTGCCAGCGAACCCAGTACTCGCAGCAACGCGCCTGGTTTGTCGCCACCTTCTGCACGCCGCCTCCAAGATGGGGGCTGTGGGTTGACAGACACGCCACGAAATCGGGGTTTGCACAACAAGCCGCCGGAGACTTGGCTTAGTTCTGCTAGCCATGCCCTCGACTTGAGCACCAGGCTGCAAAGACAGTGGTTAACCTACCGATGTCGAACAAAGTGCAGCCTTTCCACTAGCAAACGCTACAACTTGGCAGCGATCCACTTGGTAGGTTTCAGCACAGAATCCGATGGCGAAGGATATGGTGATGATTTTGCTGATGAGAAAAGAAAAGGCTGCCAATCGTGACAACGAAACTGCCCTACATACTGGTCACAGCAATGACAACAGTAGCCGTAGCCCTCGTCATATCTGCACACAATGCACGCAAATGCCCGAAGTCCCGTGGGCCTAACCCGGCCGCGCACAAAGCGTGCAGGAGCCAGGGCGGCTATCGCCGCAGCGGCGCTGCATGCCGCCCGGGAACGTTGCGGGCGCTCCGGCCTTACAGGTCAGGGACTGGAGAGTTAGAGTTTAGAGTGAAAAGCAGATGGTCTTCTATGTTGTGTGTTGGGCAATAACTCTAAGCATGGCTCGATGCCTGAATTGGGAGGGGGGTCGGGGCAGGTCAGAAGTGAGCAGCCCAGACGGAGGTGAAAATGCGGTAGCAGTCCGACCTAAGCCAACGCAAACTCACGTGAAGCCTCACCAAAATGCTGCAAGTCACTTCCGCGCAGAGCTGCGGGCTGCCACCACAGGACCAGCAGTGATGAGCAAGGGGTGTGCCAGCTCCATGGCTATTAGTTGAAGCTATGATTGCAAGTCTGTTGTCTTGAATCCTTTGGGTATCGGACTTTTCGCTTGCATAGCGCTTCCGGGAGTCTCGAAGCTTGGCAGCGTTGGGTCCAACTGGTTGTATTCTGTCTTCATGAAATTCATCATGAAATGATCTGTGAAGTAGCCGTCTGCAGTATAGACTGGTTACCCTGACAGTGAGCAGAAATTCTCCGTGCTTCATTTCTCAGGCACACTTGTGGCCAACAGCCGCGGTGCTTCTGAAGGTAATGGGCCGAGAGCTTGCAGGGACCTAGGTTTGAGCACATGGGAAGGGCTGCGTCGAGTCTGGCCCCTGGCAGCTGCTTCCCTGCCAACCCGTTTTTCGGTTGAACCCCGCCCTCCTCTATCTCCTCTAAAAGTAATAGTCGAAACTTCCTCGGATCCACATGAACTCTGACGGAATGGTGATAAGCCTCCAATGCTTTTAAGATGTAACAGGGTTGCCAGTTGAGGGCTCAAGACAGCCGTCAGCTTTTCCTGACGGTGACTCAACGCCAACGGGCACAACTAGTCGACCTGTCTTCTTGTCTTGGAAGAATGTAGTACGCAAACACTTCCGAGAACTCGAGCAACCATTACTTCTTGCATCACGCTAACTGGACTTTTCGGAAACGGCCACCGAAGACCCGCATCTAGATTCTATGGCATCCACCCCAGTACGGCCAAACCCACCTAAGCCCTCCACCCTGCACTCGCCCCTGGTACCTGACATCACCAAAACGGTAGAAGGAAAAATCATACTCAAGCATCAAAATCGCTAGAACCCCTGCAGCTGCTGGATGAAAACGTAAACGCAAACTGACTCGCCTGCCGCGAAAAGGCCATCATGGTAGGCCTGGACTCGTTCTTGGAGCGCTCCACAGCATACCTCAAGGTGGGGGTTTTGGAATTTGCTGCTTCGGGTTGTGAAGGGATCTGCAAACAAGTTCTTTTGAGGGCAGAACCCTAGTTTCCAGTCCAGAGAAAACACTGCATCCACGAGTTACATAGTCGGCAGTACACCTGGACGCCAGCATGTCTTCTGCAAGACATCCTTTGTCGGGGCTTCAGTCTGGCACCATCGACGACAACTCGCACTTACCAAGCGTTTGGATTTCCAAGCGTAGTTGTTCGCAGAATGCAACCCTCCTCCCTCCCCGTTTCATGAAGTCCTTCAGCTACGAGGTCCGCACTTGTAGGCACCGGCTGTCTCATTGCCATCCGCCGGTCGCATCACCTAGGCCCAAGAAGCCCTGGTGCCCCACCATCGGCGCTGGCATGTAAAAGTCGAAGCGATGGACGGCACCGCAAACTCATGTATAGGTGAATAGTTTAACAAAGAAACCCAAACTGAGATAGACTGTGTATGCATCGATTGCATATCTATTTAATCGTGCATTCATCTGTATACATCATTTTTGTCGTTACTATTACTGTTCGCATTAATACACATAATTAGTAGTATTAAAAACTGCAAATTCTACATGTATATGTCTGCATATATATATATATATGTAGGTTCGGACATGTTCTCACTGACATCTACATGCACTTGTAAAACCATAAAAAAATACATGCGCACATACGTCTATATGTACAAGTATGTGTCTACGTATATGTATGTGTATATATGTACAAATGTATGTGTTTATGTATGCATGTATGTATGCACGTATGTATGTATGTATGTATGTATGTATGTATCTATGTATATATATATATATATGCATATGTGTATATATATACACATCTAAATATGCACGAGGTCGGAGGCACGGAGGTCGGTTGGGTCGGTCGGTCGTACTCCCTCTCGGAGATGGAAACAGTGCTGGGTGAGAATGCAGACTTTCGCTTTGTCAGTTGCTCCGAACCAATAGTGGTGTGTCACAGCTTTGCTTGGCAACCACATGTGTTGGGGTGCACAGCTTCGGCAAATACTGATGGGCTCGGGTCCCCAAGTCCTCGAAGGACCGCTTCTCGGGCCCCACGCTGTCAGATCAGGAATCAGGCGCCTGCAAGGGCACCAAGGGTGCGAGCTGGTTGTTTTTGACTTGCCACAGATTGGGGGCTTGGTGACTTGAAAGCTTTTGGATTTGGCCGTGTTGCAGTGTCGGCCTGGTGATGAAGTATGTATGAAGCCTTTGTGGTTCCTCACCCTTCCACGCGCATCTATCGTTGATCAGCCGAAGACCCGAACGACAGTACGTCAACACCTAAACGTTGATGACATGAAACCTCAGTCGTTGACCCTGCCCGGAGGTCTTGACCGGGAAAGAAACAAACCTAACAATACATCTGATCGTTCTTCGGCTGCACCTAGCAAGCCCCGGGTCGCCCAAAATTTATGAAACCACAACTGCCATCTGCATGTTGCTCGATTTCTTGATGATGCTGCTGCAACTACTACTATCACTACAACTACTACTACTGCTGCTACTGCTACTGCTACTGCTACTGCTACTGCTACTACTACTACTACTACTACTACTGCTACTACAACAACAACAACAACAACTACTACTACTACCACTACTACCTCTACAACAACAACAACTACTACTACTACTACTACTACTGCTACTACTACCAAACCTACTACTACTACTACTACTACTACTACTACTACTACTGCTACTACGACTACGACTACGACTACTACCACTACTACTAATACTAATACTACTACTACTACTACTACTACCACCACTACTACTACTGCTACTACTACTACTACTACTACTACTACTACCACTACTACCTACCACTACTAAAACTACTTCACTACTGCTACTACCGCTACTACTGCTACTACTACTACTACTACTACTACTACTGCTACTACTACTACTACTACTGCTACTACTACTAATACTACTACTAAAACTACTTTACTACTGCTACTACCACAACTACGACGACTACTACTTCTGCTGCTGGCTACTAGGACTTCGACTACTAGCTGTAGTTACTTCTTACTAACTGCCAACTTATAACTACTCGCCACTTACTGCTTACTGCTTGCGGGCTACTGATTAATTACTACTTACTACTTTCTGCTTACTACTTGCTACTTACTACTTACCACTTAGACACGTATCACTTACCAGTCACTACTTACTACTTTCTACGTACTACTTGTTATTTATTACAACAACTACTGCAACTACAACAACTCCTTCTCCTCCACCCGCTCCTACTACTACTACTACTACTACTACTACTACAACTCCTTCTCCTCCACCCGCTCCTACTACTACTACTACTACTACTACTACTACAACGACTACGACAACCGCTACGGCTACTACTACTACTACTACTACTACCACTACTACTTCTAATACTACTGCTTCTAGTACTACGGGTATGGTACTACCACCACTACTCTCGGAATACTAGTACTGTTATAATGCACTGCTACTACTGCTACTGCCCCTACTACTACTACTACTACTACTACTACTACTACTAGTGCGATATACTACTGGTAGTGCTACTACTGTTGCTGCTACTGCTACCACTACTGCTGCTGCTACTACGAGTACTACTACTACTACTACTACTACTACTACTACTGCTACTAGTACTACTAGTCCTACTGCAACTGCTGCTGCTACGACTACGACGACGACGGCGACGACGAGGAGGACGTCCACGACTACTGTACCACCAGCACCAGCACCAGCACCAGCACCAGCACCAGCACCAGCACCAGCACCAGCACCAGCACCAGCATCAGCACCACCGGCACCACCGGCACCACCGGCACCACCGGCACCACCAGCACCACCAGCACCAGCACCAGCACCACAAGCTGGAGCAATCTTTCTGCTGCTGCTCCTGCTTCTGATACTAGCTTCGGCTACTAGAAGCATGGCAACTGCCACGGCAAATGACGAAGAACATGATGAGAGTTGGATCATCATCTTGCAATATGATTAGAAGTTTTTTCATCACCACGGTATACACCAGCAGCATCATCATCTCTGCTATCCTTCCACCACCACATGCAGCGCTAGCACGACCATGATAGTAACGACACCTACCATTCACAATTTTAAAGGCGTTGCAAAGTATAGTGATGGCGAGTCTCACTACTGTTACTACTATTGATACAGCAGCAAGAGTATTCTTGGTACTCATCAGCACCGACGTCAAGACCATGGACGTCATTCTTGGCAATCGTTATCGTCATCAATATCATCATCATCATCATCATCATCATCACCATCACGATCGTATGATTTTGATGTTGCCAGGGAAAATGCAGCAGACGGTATCGATGAGGATGAAGGTTAACAGAAAGGGCAGTACTACTAGCGGTATGATCTTGACCGTGATGGTGATGATGCACGTGCCGAGGCACAGAGATGGGATGGTCTCGATCGGCTGGTGTGTTGGACCGTCCTCGCCTGCGCAAGGCGTCCCGGCGTCAAATTCTATGCTTCAAAACCCCGAGAGGAAACAAACATTGCAGTGATCTGAGTTTGAGGTGTCGAACATTTTGGCGATTTCAGGTGCTAGCTTGGGTACACTGTCGGCATAACTTGCACCAACTGGCCAGCTTTGGTAGTATGTCTGAACAGCAAAGAAACCTCAACATCCGAAATCTCTCATTGTCCTTAATGGTTGAAGTGGCTGTCTAGCCGTATTGTCTAGGATCGAGAACGGCTTCCACGAACAAGGATCGCACCCACAGCAATCGAGTCGTGGGTGGTAACGAAGATGGTGCCAGCTTGGGAGAGGGCCGCAATACCTCGCCATGTGTTCAACCAAGCTTGATTCTTACGGCAGGGTCTTAAGCCAAGGTGCCTTGAAGAAAAGGCAGCTCCCAAACGTTAAGCGAGAGTTGGGATTTTCGGAAAGGTCTGTAGATTCTGTAGATACAGCAGGTAAAGAAAAAGGATAGCTCCAGGATGTTGAGGGACTGCAGATAGTCTCAAAACTCAAGCACCCAAATCAACTAAACACATCCTGACTTTAGACCTCTAAGGTGAAGTTCAAGGTCAAGGATCTTGCACAACAGTATTGTGTTCTAGATTTCAACGAAGAAATCCATGGCAACAGCTGGGTCCGAGCCTGTGTTTCCAAAGCTGCTGGTGTGCTCTCGAAAAAAAAAATTGCTGCCACGGACAGCCGGGGGCTTGTTCTGTTTGGGCCCAGCCACCCTTTACTTCAGGCTGTTGCGAAACGAAGGAGGAAACAGTCTGACCAGCTTCCTTACCACTTCGAACTGTCATCCAGTTGGTGCTGCAGGTCAACGGCCTAGTTTGACAGCGCCGTGGACATGGAAATGCAAGAAGCACAGGGCAGCGCCAGATTAATGCTTCTGCAGGAACAAGAGTTTGTCAAGATGAAGCTGATGTGCAAACAGAAAGTTCTGAGAGGAACAGCGCAAATGCCCCCTCGCAACTACGTTCGAACTACACGATGGTTTCGTTCTTCTGCTGAACAGTCAGGCCTGGTCCCCAATTCTGCTTTTGCCCGCTATCGGCAACTACGGCGATCAAGCTATAGAAATGCCCGTGCTGTTTACCTGCGGCAAATGGCGAGAACTACGACGTCGCACTCTTATGTGCTGCAGCTTGCCTTTGTATGCATGCACATAGGTACGTCCTCTTATGCTACTATTGGTGCAGTGCCGCTTCTTGATACTACTGCAACGAGCCACGCACCAACCAAAAAGGATGGTCAAACATCTGCATGCTAAGTGGCGGATGGCAGAGCGCATGTAGTCGGTGAAGATGGTGAAGGTGGCGCAGTAAGGAATGATGCCTGCAAGGGAGCTCCGGCTCCAGCAAGGCACCTTCTACCGATTCTATGGAGGTAGTGGAAGGAGGAAAGCTAGAGGAACACGAGCACTGAGCTGGACTTAGCCGTACCCCGGATTCTCCAAGGGTGTCGAAGACTGCCGTGTTCTCGCTCCCTGACGCAAGTCCCACGGAATAGGTATTTCAGCGCCCTGCCCTCTCTCAGACACAAGTACTCTGACCCAGAAACCCACAACACGATCTGTCCTGTCTTGTCCAGAGACAAGGCATTGCAGACGGCACCCATGCCGAACTCACGGATGCCGAAGCGGAAGTTCCTATCAGAAGCGTCTTTGAGTGATCTTAGAAACCAGGGCGTAGATGTTGGTTCAAGATCAGACTTGGGGATCACAACGTTGAAAGCTTCGGTGATGGTGATGGAAAGGATGACTGCATTGACATTTAGCATCCTTTATCTGCGGCAAGTCCACTCGGTTGGAGACCTTCACTCCTTTTAAAGGCCCGAGCTCCAACCCCAACCCCAGAATTTGCCGCCTTGGGCCCTCTTCATGGGCAGGAAAAGGTGCAAAGGTGGCCACTTCGAAGTCTCTTCCACATACAACTGGTGATCTGTTGTTGATTGCACGCCTCTGTGTGGCAGAGTGCTTACCGTGATGGCCATGTACTGCAGGCCTCTCGGAGTAGCTGTCTTTCAGGAAGTCGCCAGTGCACTTCCTCGACGGATTCTGGAAGGGGAGACCGGCCAGAACCAAAAGAGAGTCAAGCAAGTGGAAGGCACTTAGTTCAACTTTGTCTGCAGAAGAGCCTGTCATAGTACTATGCTGTGCGTCATTGACGGTGTTGGGTGTGAGGTTTCATGCTGGCTTTCAAAATGGGTAAACCACTCACTGGAAACAGCTGCGACTTCAGCAGATTTGATGCTACCAATGCGTGGACTTGATCCTTCTTCAACGAATTCCAGCAGTTGCGACGAGTCGGGGCCCATCTCCAAGATCATGCAACTTAAGACATCAAGCATTTTGGAGAAGGTTGCTAAGGGTCGAAGAGCATGAAGAGATATCGGGAATCTGGAGATTGAGGCTTGGTGAGTGTCATGGTGGATGCTCTTGAGCTCGGTGACTCTGCTTGCAGCTGCTATGCGTTACTTGACGATCGACACTGCATTGGGACGGGCAGGGGACATCTCACCTCAGCCTCAGACTCAAGCCAAGCATCATCAGTGTCATGTTGGAAGGCGCCAGGTCGGCAGAGCCACCCATGAACTCCGGCAGGACCGGGGCGATGGCATTGAGGCAGTCCTGGAGAGGAAGTGCAAGTGGCCTTCTCATAGAATGTCATGATTTCTGCATTGTGAAGTTGTTGTCGAGACGCCACTGAGCTTCTAGGTGACCTAGTTCTCTGTATATTGGAGACATGGGAGAAGCCATCTGGATGCGGCGGGCTTCAGGTACTGGGCTTGAAGTATTGTGGTTGAAGGACTCGGGGTTGCGGAGTTTTCAGTAGGGAAGGAGCCTGTTTCTTAGAGCCGCATATAGGCGACCTAACATGCTAGTGGCACAAGACCCGGACAACACACATCGATCCGTTCGACGTGACGGCTGTTCGCATTGGTTTGAAGTCTCGATGTTGTCTCTGTCAGTATATGGGGCCTGTAGGGTGTAGAGCACGACGTTCCAACATCTCCGGAAAAAACAAACAGACACAAGCATCTGAAGCCCTGCGTCCTGGGAGTGCAAACGGGTGGCCTGTCAGGGACATGTCTTTGATGTTTGGATTAGATGTGTTCCTTAATGCTTGCATTAGGCCTCGAATGAGCAAAGGGCTCAGGGATCCTCAATACAAGCTCCTATCCTTTCTTGTCTGGTTCCCCTTGGACCCTAGGCCTACATTCCCAACTGAAAGCGTGGAAAGGACTGATAGCAATGCTTCACAGCCACAAGTGTCCCCCAATCCTACACAGCCTGCCTTGAGCCCAGCAGGCCCAAATGGTTTAGGGTAAAGGGTTTAGGGGTGCACGAAGCCTCTAAAGCCTTAGACCAATTCCTAAACTCTGAAAGTATGCTAAGCAGTACATAATTTCAAAACCAAATCATATGATTCGAATGAAGCAGGAAAACAGAAGTCCAACCGAGTCGTTGTCCTTGTCAGACCTTGCTCTACAAACCCTGAAGGCACTCAGCACGGTCGCGGTTTGGGGATTTACGCTTCAACGGAAGAGGTCCGCAAGGGCCTGGCATATGCTTCGGGGACCTCTGAAATCCGAAACCCCGCCCGAGCCCAACCAAGCCCAAAGCACTTCAGAAATCTTTAGAAATCCATCACAATCACCGTCGCAGTCCGTCTCCTGATGGCCTTGCCGTTGTCTTCCGTAGTCAGCTTGGGGAGACACTCATCCCAGTTGTCGGGCAGTGTCCTCTTGAGTACCTGCGGGAATGCAGCATTCTGTGAACTCTGTGAACTCTTTGAACCTCCGGGACCCTTGCAGCCGGGGAGCCTGAAAGGATTTCGGCTGTTCCCTGTTGTGGTGGATTTCTTGCGCAGGCCCTTGACACATGACATGCAAGGTGTGTCTACGCGTGTTGGATGGGAACTGAAACACACATCATGGGGCATAGAATTAAAGATGCCGGCATTTTAGTTTGGGTTGAACTTGTTCCCGGCTTTGACCGTGCATGCAGATGCACACTGTTGGTGCTGAAACCTAAGAAGTCTGTCCCTCAGTCCTGTTCAAGCCAAAGAGGAAAGCTGAGAGCGGGCATCGCTGAAGCCTGCTCTAAACTGCAAGACACAAATCCTACACACCTTTCATCTTGCGTTCCCACCTGAATCTTGGTCGGGGCACTGCACGCTCAAACTGTGCAGCAAGCTCAGGCTCCTTCTCCTCTCCAGTTCGGGAATCAGTTTTCGGGTTCCGGCTTGCGACAACTAGGCTTTCCCCACCCAAACCCTTACAGCAACCCGAAACTTGAAGCGGTTTAGATTTTTGGCTACAACGGTGCAAGCTTAAAGGTGTGGGCTCTGAGGCAAGGGATCTACTTTGTCCCCGTGACCAAAGGCTCGAGGGGTGCAGCACTTCATAGAAGGCAAGCTGAACAAGTTTTCATTCCGGGTGACAAGCCGAGCAATAACTGAGAGAATGAGGATAACAATAACAGCACACGATATCCACTCACAGCAAGTGCATCATTATGACAACTACCAAAAGCCCACGACGACCAGGCCATCAGGGCCACCACAATGACCACTACGAACATTGGGACAACCAGGTTGAACCCACCAGCAGCCCCGAGTACCGGCAGACTCAGGACCAGGCCAAATGCTTTCCTCCAAGTACTGGATCCGGAGTCCGGCCCGAATGCTTTCCCTAAAGTACTGGCGGATCCCGGACAATGGCCCCAAATACATTCGGGACCACAGCTTGTGCTCCGCTCCCTGAGTTGGCGGGATCCAGAGGGACAGACACACAAAATCCTTTGCCTCAAGTACTGCAAAAGGAGATCTATGCATGCGAACTTACAACGCGTAGGCTCTCCGTCCAGGGCACGCGGTCGTACGGATCCTCCTTAAACAAGAAGAGGACGCGAGCCCAAACTGCGCACCGCGCCACAGCGGAAGCAGAGAGCCGAACGGATCCTCCGTAACTAACGGACACGAGGGCAAACTTCGTGCCGCACCACACGCGTGTCGGGTAATTCTGTTTGCCCTGAAGGCAAGAAGCCCACAGAGTTACCATACTGTTTGGGGAGTTATCAAGAAAAAAGAAGGTATCATTCATGCCACAATTGTGCTAATCAGACCACTGGCAATAACTAGCAAAAGATCAGCGACAACGCCAACAGCAAGAATAATAATAATAATAGCAACAAGAAGAGCCTGCGACGGCGACTACGAAAAACATCATTGTCGTCGTCACCATCATCGTCATCGTCACACTCGTGACTCAACCGTCAAAGCGAAGCCAACACGACGGAGCTTATCAACCAACACTGTGATCCCGTGTATCGGAAGGAGCAACTGGCGTGTTGCTTCGGCTCAGCTTCGAGGCAATCGCGATCGGATATGTGTACGCATTTGAGTAGTTCTCAGTAGACTTAATGGCTTGAAGCAAGGGGATTCATTCCTGAATTTGATGGCATCAGTTCTCTGCTTCATGCTCGTGCCCACGACCTTCAACAACGCAATCTCGGATCTGGACTGCTGATCAGACACTCTATGCGCCAAAATCCGGAAGCCGACGCTGAACGTGGCTGGTGCTCCTTGTAGGCAGCGAACATCTTGTCCCACTCCGCCTGCCTAGGGGCCAGGAGCGCTCGTGAAGCTGCATGGAGGACTGTGCTTGGAGGGTCACTCTCGGGGTGTGTACCAGTTGCAGAGAGCCTGCAGTCCCTCATGTTCCAGAGTCTACTCTCGGCGCCCTGGGACCAGTGAACTCTTCGAGTCGACGAGTGAGGCTAAGCTGCGAAGCAGCCTTTTACACTCACCCCGATCCGGTCCCAACCCCAATCCCAGAAAAGCCGTAATCTGAACCTTGCAGCATTCCGCGCCGAGGCACTTTGCAGAGCCCGCATCGGCCTGCTTCTTGAAAGCGGCATAGACGTGCTCTGGGACCTTCCATAAGTACCGATGAACAAGACAGAGCATAAAAACAGAGTGCGACGAAGATGCCAAGGTCCAAAGTCACGACAGTGATACGGATCGCGACCCCGGCGCACCCCAGAATCCTGTGACTGTGCACCCGACAAGACTCGCACTTGGTCAGACACATCTTCCGCGAGACGAGCGAGCGTATAGAGTCCACGACAACGACGGCGACGGCCAACAACAACAACAACAACAACAACAACAACAACAACAACAACTGCAACGACTACTACTACTACTACTACTACTACTACTACTCCTGCTGCTACTACTACTACTACTACTACTACTACCTACACCTACACCTACACCTACACCTACACCTACACCTACACCTACACCTACTACTACTACTACTACTACTACTACTATCACTCCTCCTCCTCATCCTGCTGCTACTGCTGCAGCTATTACAAAAACTGCT